AGGTGTGAAACCTCCCGATGGAAGAGGGTTTCGTGAGATGGGTCTCTGAAAAGGGACAGGGTAGGGGAATAGGTGGGGGGCATAGAGGTAAAAGGAATTGCATAACCCTGTTGGATCAGTTGGATCTGTCTGATGTTATTTGAGTCCATTAATGGTAAAAAACCCGGAGCGGGTGATGGAATTGAGGAGGCTCGGGCATGTGTGTTACTGGAGTGGGTATCCGGCTCTCGACATATCTTTCAAATTTGTTGTCTCGTTGCAGGTGGGTGGGTCGTTGCTGAGTGTTGCTGTTACTGTCGTTGTGGTCTACGACGTTGTGTCTCTGTCTTTGCCTGAAATCATACCGAGGCTGCTGATGGAAGGGCTCCCTAGATCTCTGGTAAGTCGCAAATCTTGTTCTCTTCGTGGGGAGGTGTACATCCCCAATGTCCTGAGTGTCGTCTGTGAGTCTTTCATAAAATGCAACACCTCGTCTGTCTTGGCAGCAAAGAGGTTATTTTTATCAAAAGGCAAGTCTTCAACCTTTTGCTGTAAATCTCTGGTGACTCCGGAAGCCTGTAGCCATGATATTCTGCATAATACCATAGCTGATGCGGTAACACAGGCTGCGGTATCTGCTACATACATTGCGGATTGCAAGGCAGTACGTGAGACTGCATGACCTTCATGCATTATATTGAGGAGTGTTGACTGTTTATGTTCAAGTAAGGGTTGTGCCAAGTCCTGGAGTTTAGAATAATTTGCGTGATCATAATCCGCAAGCATTGCCGCGTAATTTGCTGCTCGAAGGAGCAAGGTAGCTGAGGAATAGACCTTATGGCCCATAACGTCTATTCTCTTGTGATCTCTATCCTGTGGTGTCGTCTTTAGGTTAGGTTGTCTTCCTTTGTGACCAACTGAATCCACCACTAGGGAGTTAAGTGGTGGATGGGTGAAAAGGAAATCTGCATCCTTTGGTGCAATAAAGTACTTGCAGTCAGCCTTCTTGTTGGTGGGGGGGGGGGGGGTGCAGATATTTTCGGCTGGGTCCATAATGGCCTCATCCCTAGGGATTGCCAGTCGAGAAGTAGTAGATGATTCCAGTGTCCGTAGGAGTTTATATTGTTTAACTTGTACCTTCTCTAAGTCCCTTTCCTGTGCTAGCGCCACCCTTTTAAAAAGATCATGAAATTTCCTAGAGTCATCACCGGATGGTAGAGCTTCCGGTGCAGCCTCATCGGGAGAGGATGAGGAGTTATGTAGAGGGGATCTGTCTTCGCCCTCTGAAAGAGAATCTTGTATCTCAGAGCAGCTTGGGGAATTTGGTTCTGTCAGGAACGTAGTAAGAGGTAGTGAAGCCGGTGTCCTGGAAGTTGTTGAAGGAGGATGATGATGACTTCGCTTTGGTCTTGGCTCACATGGCTGCCATTGAATAGCGTATGGCGGGGGGGGGGGACTATTTTTTTTAGAATACCATGGTGGTGGCAGAGAATTTGGCTCTGTCAGGAACGTAGTAAGAGGTAGTGAAGCCGGTGTCCTGGAAGTTGTTGAAGGAGGATGATGATGACTTCGCTTTGGTCTTGGCTTACATGCCTGCCATTGAATAGCGTATGGCGGTGGTGGGTAGCTATATTGTTGAGCATACCATAGTGGTGGCAGAGATGGGTATGCATATTGTGTGACCGGAGGCTACCAGAAAGGAGGTTTGTGGACAGGACTGGAATGTTGGGTGGAGAATCTGCTCCTAGGTTCTGTGCCTGCATTGCTTGGAGACCGTGAGATGTGGGACGATCTGCCTGAATGAACTGAGTGCACCGAAGAAGTTGGTGAAGTCAGTGCCAGCGGAATGATAGTGCGCATAGTGTGGCTCGGTGCCGAGGTGCGGGAGTTGCTCAGTGTCGATGGGGGTGCCGAGCGGCATGGGGGCAGCATGTCGGTGCGGGGTTTCTCCACAGTCGGTGCCGGCATCTGGTGCCGTGGTTGTTTCAGTACCGAGCGTTCTTTATGGCCAGCCGGTGCTGAGGAGGAGGTCGATTTTCTGTCTCGGCTCAGAGTGCACTCGCTTGTGCGTTGCCGGCATTTTGGCCGAAGCCGTACCAGACGTGCCCGGCTTGTCCGCGGTGCTAACCCATGAGGCTGAGGATGCTGAAGGTAGTGAGCAGGTCGGGGAACGAGCTATTCTTGATGCTGCCGGGGTAGATGGGGCAGAGGGACATGATTTGTCCGTACCCTTAGTCAGAGAGGCCATTTCTGGAGCCGCTGGTGGGTTGTCAGATGGAGGTCGGAGAGACTTTTCGTAAAGAATTGTTTTCAGCCTATTAGCCTGGTCCCTCTGTGCTCTGGAGGTTAATTTTGAGCAGTGCTGGCACTTCTGAGTCTGGTGGGATTCACCAAGGCACTTAATGCATTCGGCATGTCCATCAGACACGGGCATGGCATGTCTGGCACCTTTTAAAGCCGGGAGAACCCGGCATGAGGCGCGGGAAACAAACAGCAAGCCACAACGAGAGAGAGAATTTTTGTTTTGTTCTAACTTTAGCCTAGGGTAGGTTAGGGTAAGGAAAAAATGGAATATAAGGTAACTATGGGAATTAACCAGAGTTTCAATCTATTTTTTTAAACAAAGATGAAGAGGAGAAGAAGCTCCGTCTATTGTCGAGGACGGTAAAGAAGGAACTGAGGAGCTGTGCTGCGTGCTTGCCTAACAGATTTCAACGACACAGGGGGGCACACTGGCGCATGCGTGGCGTGGTGGAAACAGCTAAAAAGATCTCCAGTTGCTGGCGCGAGGACACACCAGCACCCACGGGGACCTCTCGAAAGAGAAGCTCTTTACACCAACATTCAACATGATGATGGATTACTAGCTATCCCTGATGACACCACTCAGAGGCCTTGGGGGACATTCTGGACCTCACCTACAGACAACACCCTAACTTGAAACAAATTCTTTCCAGCAACCATGCAGCATACTTCAGTCATACTCACCCAGGACCCCACCTGTAATCAACTCTGGCGCCAACTCTGTCCAGACGAGTGACATCACATGACCTAACCACATAAGCCACCACATCAAAGGCTCATAAACTGTACATCCACTAATGTGATGTGTCATTAGGTGCCAGCAATGCCCCTCTGCCAAACTGGACAGTCTCTGTGACAAAGGATTAATGGACACAAATCAGATATTCAAAATGGTAACACACAGAAACCTGTTGGGGAACATTTTAACCTGCCTGAGCACTTATTAATCCATCTAAAAGTGACTATACTATTACAAAGCAATTTAAAAAACCAGCTGGAAAGAGAAGCTACAGAAATTGCCTTCGTGTGTAAATTTGACACCTTTAATCAAGGTTTGAACAAAGACATGAACTGGATAGGCTGCTACATTCAACACCCTAATGACATCAAAAGTATCGGGCACTTCTAGCCCACTCTATTAGCCACATTTAGCACGGACACTGCAATTGACAATTTTTTTCACTTCCCTTTCCTCCCCATCCCCTCTTTCTGCTATTTATTTGCAACTCTGGACTCCTTGCTCCATTCATCTGAAGAAGTGGGCTGGGTTATGCCCATGAAAGCCCATGATAGTATCTACATTTTTTGTTAGTCTCTAAGGTGCTGCAGGACAATTCGTAGTTGAAGTTTTTTTTCAGTTACAGACTGACTAATGGCTACCTCTCTGTGACTAGCTACAAACTGGCCCTTAGATTACTCTGTTTACATAAATGTAGCAACAAGAAATAAAAAGTGGGAGTCAGTGGCATTTTCTACATAACATGTTAGCAGAAAGTGCAGGAGTCAAGGTCCCATGCTCAGCTTAGTGCTATATAACTTCTTATTGCTCATTTTAAGAAGATAGAAAATATAATAGTACAGTAGTTTCATTAAATAAGGCCATTAGTAAGGCCATTGTAATAAAAACGTCACCTAGCTAAGACTGAATCTCCCTCCTTAATGTGTTACAATATCTTGCCAGCCATGGCACTGAGTATGAAAGTTGAGTCTTTCTCTTTAACCCTCCTGCCACCTTCAGATGATATCTCCAGAACATAGTCCAACTGATGCAGAAAGCAGCTCTGAGCAGCAGCTTGTAACTCATTTTTTAGAAACTGATTAAACTGATGACAGAGTCCCTTTAAATTCCAGAGGCTTTTAGAGAGATTTCTCTATAACTTTATTATGGTTTCATTCTTTTCCTAAAGTTCCCCAGGACTTTTCTAATAGAGTGATCGAGACTAGGCCTGGTTTTAGCACATGCAACTGCCCTGAAGTTTTGGAGTTATACTGGGGTTGCATTTCACCCATTGTTCTACTTCAAAGCTCCTTTCTTCAAGGGCTTCCAAGCATTAATGCACTAACCCTCATGTTGCTCCTTTGAGAAAAGAACTGATATCCCCACATTACAGATGTGGCCTTTGAAACCAGAAAAAAAAGCGACTAGCCCCAGGTGGTACAGTGAATAGTTTGGAAGGACAGTGAAGGAAGTTCTCAGTCCTGGTCCCACATACATTTTGAAAACACAGTGGCCTCTTTACAAGCTATAGTAAGTACCACTAGCGCTAGATCTTGGGGCAAATCTCTAAGCCCTTCCTCTTCAAAACCAGCAAGACTTCTTCAGGAAGACATTTGGCTCGTGTGAAGTTCCAAGGACAATTGTGCAAACATGGCATGTTGTGTAAGGACAAAGACATCCAGCTAGCCTAATTTTAGGACACATGGAATGTTCTTTTTCACTGAAATATGTGTTTAACATCTGATTTTCTTTTGTATGTAAGATTTGCTGGAGCTATACAAAATTAGGGAATAGAATTGAACATAGATTAAGTTTTGGGCCTGTCAGTCTTCATATTATGTCTTCTAAGGGTGTCATTTCTCAGTTTTCCAAAGGTCGAGGTCTGACTGAATAAAATGAATGTCTCCATACATGGGTGGCCAGAGCCTTGTACAATCAGAGCACTACCAGAATACAAAAAACAGATGGTATCCTTATTGTGTCTAGCATCTAGTCTCACCTGACGCACAGCATAACTTCCTGGTGATCCTGGATATCTCTCTATCATCATAGGACGCAGATCGTTTTGCCACATTTGAACAACATCTGTGTATGCTGCAACTTTCCGGATAGCAGCAGAATTTAAAATACTTGGTTGGTGAGAATACTGTAGAAGGAAAAAGAGGCATGATTGCAATAATTAACAACTATTATTCGTTAGGAAGTTGTTGGTGTTTTCTTAAATCTGCCAATAAACATGATGTTATAGAATGCAAATGACATACTGTACTGTATTATTATTAACATATAACATGCCAGTCCTATATATTGTAGCATCTTCCAGTAATATGGACAACAACCCCTTAAGAGTTGGTCTTCTCTCAAAAGTAACTCTAAAAATGGCCTTGGTTTTGTATCTCACTGGTTGCTAGACTGAATGTGCTCAGTTTATACTTTTTTCATACCCCTTCGGTAACAAAAGTTTTGCCGACATAAGTGTTAGCATAGTCTTGGTTTAATAATGTCAGAGGGGTAGCCGTGTTTGTCTGTAACTAAAAAAATTTAAACAATAACAGTCCTTTAGCACCTCAGAGACTAACAAAAATATATAAATAGTATTATGTGCTTTTGTGGGCATAACCGACTTCTTCAGATGACAAATATGGACCCATGTTTGTCTAATAAGTTTCTTATCTTTCTCTATATGTAAAAAAAAAAAAAAAACAACCCCATTTCCTGCAAGGTGACAGAATGGCGTCATCCCTGTGGATGTTAAATGTTGGTTAATTGAATAGCCGATTAAACCTAATGAATTCTTATCGGTTACTCTACTATTCTGTAGCTCCAGAGAGTGCCAGCCACACTCCTGAGGACCCCTCTGCCACTCTGCACTGCTGCCTCTGTAGAGGTGGTGACAGGGCATGCTCAGGAGAGAGGTCAAAGTAGGGGACAAGAAGAGGCACTTAGGAGAAGGTGTTGGGTAGGGGCAGGGCCTGAGGCAAAGCAGGGCATGGTGAGCACCTGGGCTTAGAGGAAACCCATGCGTATGCACCTCTCTTCAGCATTTAATGATAAACCTGATTACACTCAAGAGTCCTTGTTTCCATTTGGTGATTCCTAAAGGTGTCTTCACTGCTAAGTGTTCGTAACCAATGTAAAATGGCTGCCCGTCGCGGCCTTGCCCAAGTGCAAAATGGCTACCCGTACACAATAACATACCACGTTAGGTAAGCCAAGTGCACACCAATCATCATCCAACCTTGCCTTACATAGCCAGGTGTAGAAGGCTCTGCTAAGGTGCAGGACGCATTACCAAATAAGGTCTCAAAACAAAACCCCACACCCAAGCATCCAGCCCACTGCGGCAAATAGTAACCAATCAGCAGCCAGCGGACACAAAATAAAAGCAAATGCACTAACGCACAAGAACAGGGAACACGATTACTTCACGTCTAGCCTGATCAGCTAGTCGTCCCGTTCCCTCCGCTCACGGCTGCAATAGAGCGTACTTCGTTTGGGCGTCCCGTGTTAACCGAAGCCTACACAGTCCGGTATGAAGCGGGCCTTCGTAGTGTGGCTGTGGCTTGCAACAGTGGTAAGATAAACAGTTTATGTAATGATATGTTGTAATTATAGTGTATAGAATTACAGATGAATACTACTTTACCCAGTTGTAATTGTACCAGTCCGAATTGGGCCACCTGGCGATTCCCTCAGTGTTACGGGGACCTTGAGTGCGCCCCAGGAATTGTAGTTTTTATAGTGTCAGTTATACTGATTTTGTTGTTAGTAATTGTTTGGAGGCCTACCCTATAGTTTTTGTAAAGAAACAGTAATAAATTAACCCCGTCTAATTTGTCGTCTACTTCCTCTTACTCGGCATCCTCGTCGGACCTAACCAACTGTCTCTAGTCTCGAACACTAAGCAAGCACTTAAGTGGGCACAGTTAAAGGCAACCTAGCAGCCACATCAGAAGTGAGGTTCCTCACTAGCTGCTGAAACCAGTGGCGGTAGCAGAGATGGAGGACCACAGCAGTGGCAATGGAGAGACAGAAGTAGCAGAGGACGGCAGCCAGGGGCAGCAAAGAGAGACAGCTACATCAGAGAGCAGCAGCAGTGGGACAGCAGCCACTGAGAGTCAGCTGCAGAGGTGGCAGCAGGAGATGCATTGGTCAGTGCCTCTTGAGGTAAAAATTGACCCTCCCCCTCTCCCGCAAGAACAGATTTCTGAACTGTGTCCTGACTAACCCAGGGCAATCAACTGAGAGTGGGGTGTACTGGAGGGAGAGGGGAGTGGTGTGATAAGGAATGTTAGTTTTAAGTTTTACACCATATGGTGACGAATTGAGGCAAAGGACACCACCCAAAGCACTGTGAGGTGGGTGTTTGCCTGTGGTCACATGCTTTTGTAGTGTTTTCCAAATAAATGTTGGGTCCCCTTTTCCCTTTTTGTCTAATGAAAGAAAAATTATAGAGATTCTGTGCTTGTGAGAAGGGAAGTATTGACCCTTAGAGGTGCCCAGAAGGGTTTCATTTTTCCTGATGACTGGGTGGGGGCTTGAGCTGGCTTTATTTTCTGTTAAGAGAGATTCCTAGACAAATGGTTTTCAAATTTTTTAGGTTGTGTACTCTTTTTCAAATAATGTAGTTTACCATGTACCTCCGTCTGAGATAGGATCATAATATACCTGTGATTAGATTGCCACGTCTTACTAAATAAAATGCACTGTCTGCCACTACAGGGTGTAATAAAATGTGTTGTCCACCCTTATCCCCTGATGAATTTGCATAACCCTAGGGGTACATGCACTTCCATTTAAAATCCACTGCCCTAGACAGTGAACCTAACTCTTGTTGTTGCCGACTCCATCTGGTAGAAGGGTTACAGTGATGCGGGGTGGTGTGAAGGCCTGATGTTTCTACAGAAATCAATAGCAACTGGTTGTCTAGGTAAATATGACAGGGTGAGTACAGTGGACAGGGGTGAGGTAAGGAGGGGGAGAGCGTATGATGATGAAAGAGCTGGAGAGAGTCACTGCTGCTGCTCAGCTTTTTTAGTGACCAGTGTAACCAGGGATTGAGTCTCAATTAGATATTTGCTCAGTGCTGCTCCTGGTCTATGGGTTATCTGGTAAGATAGACATGATACATGATGCTGAGCCAAAAAGAATTCTACTGGATACAGCCCTCATGAAAAAAAAAATAATACAAACCTAACTAAACAAGTGATACAATGAGGATGTGAGATGATGACAAAGGAGAAGTTAATGAAATACAGTACAAAATAGTGTCATCTTGTCCTGGAAGTGGGCCTGGTAAATTCTGACTATGCCCTATATCACTGGATGTTGCGTCAGATTAATGGAAATTAGTCAATTCAAGATGGACTTTGGACTCCGCTTCTTTATGATCACCTCAAAATAGGTTTTAAATATTTTTCCTATTTGAAAGTCTTGGAACACTTGATTAAATTAAACTTGAAGCTCTGTAATCCATTATATTTAATGTGGCTCATATAACTTTTGCATATAACCATGTTAATGTTTCATAATCAGGCCTGAATAACTCTGTTATTTGTTGAATGTCTGCCTTAGAATAATACAGAAGTAAATATACATCTCACTAAGTATTAATCCTGAGATCTTACTGTTGCAATTGGTTTGCACGAACATTTTTTTCAAGAAACATAAATAACTCTGGATGAAATAAAACATGCTGATGTTTTCTTTCCAAATAATTATGCAGCTGCTATGTTGTCATCATCTGCTATAGTCCCTGCTTGTATTTTCCCTGATACACAGAATTTACTGTTTTTACCAGAGCCTTCATTTACTCAGACCAACATATAATACGCAGAATAATTTTAATTATATTGTCTCTCCCTCACTCACATTTCTTTTCTAGAGTCTTTTCTGCTGACCCTGGTCTCAGATTTTCCAAGTTCAGCAACTCTTTGAAGACTGTTTCTCTGATTTGCCAGTGCTAGGTTGGTGTGAATCTCATATCAGCACAATAACACACTGAGGAAAGGAATTCTCTGCAGCCATTAAATTATGATGGAGGCCATGTTATTTGTTTACCTGTCTGAGTCTTTATTATGTTCACTGACAATGCTATCTAACTAATAATAAGCTAAGATTCCACCTGATTTCAACGTGGAGGGTGACTCAGAGAACTCCCCCCCTCCCACCCGCACTGTATTTATCACATCAGCAGCTCTTATATTAGAGTCAGGCTGCAGAGTTTGAGCAGCCAGACATAGGCTGCACAACAAAGATGCAATTCATGTCAATGTCTCTCTTGTAAGGGAGGAATAGGGATCAAATGAGTGTGTCTGTCTGAACTCCCCTTCCAGAAACCTCCTGACTGAGAGGCGGGCTTGGATTAAACAGTTCAGCTGCTCATCTCCTCTCAGCTTCCCTTACCCCCCCCACCCGCTCCTTCCCACACATGGCAAAGCCATGCTCTTCATTTAAGTGGGGATGAAGAGACAAGTTTGAGAAATACCAGTAGGACCCACCTTCTCCTGTGTCCAGTCTGCTGTGACTTCCCTCCCATCCACCAGCTGAGAGAAGGCGATTGCAGCCAGATAAAGTGCTCTGATAAGGCAGAAGGATGCTGCTGCTTTGTTGTTACCCCTGCCGCCTCCTGCCATTCCTCTTCTGCAGCTGCTATTGCTCTTCTTCCCGTGTGAGTCAGTAGCTGGGGCAGTTTCTTCTGCAGTCCACCCCTCCCCTTTCCTGCCTTACCAAAAGGTTCTGGAGGCAGGAGGGGGGAAGATCCAGGGGCGATGCTCAAGGAGAAGGAAAAGGGGCAGAGCTGGAGGAGGAGTTGAGGCTTCCCAATGGTCTGCTGCCGGAGCAGATGCCTGGCTGTGTGTATGATTCATTCAGCAGTATCTCCTGGCTTAGCCAGCATTTTTCCATGTGAAATGAACCTAGTCCCTAGCACCACGTCAGCAGCAGCAGGAGTACTGCATGTGATTAAGCCGCAAACCCTCAGGCAGGAATCACAGCACCATAGTCGTTCCCTTGTCTCTCATTTGTTCCCTCTTTGATCTCTTTCTCAGGATTGCAATGAGGCACCCAGGGCTTGTTTCTCACTGGGAAAAGAGAGGAGGGTTGTGATATTTGTGAAGTTCTTTATGAGTGGAGATTAAAAAGCTTTGCTGTTTTTATTTTTCCAGACAGGGTATCATTCAAATATGCCAAGCACCCAACAACTCCTGTTGTCGTCAGCCCTTTTGCCCCACTGGCAAATTTTGTTGAAAAATGCCTTTTTTTTTTTTTTTTTAACAAAAGTGCATGAGCATTCACACTGCAATGCAACTTTTGTTGTGAAAAATGGCCATTTTCTTCCACAAAAAGCTTCCCACGCCACAAGGGACGACTTGTCTTTTCCCCTCCCTGTGTTGTTGAGAGACATGCAGTGTGGATTCCTTGCTGCATTTTGTGGCTGATTCTGGCCTTCAGGAAGCGTCCTACAATTCTCAAGCAGCTGCACTGGTTAGCAGTTTGAACTCTGCTGCCCTGCAGCCAGATGACCAGCTACTCTCCTGCCCCCTTTGCAGGCCCCACAACATTTAAATCCCTTTTCCTGCTTCCTGAGCATCTGGGCCAACCTCTTTGCCCCTGTGTTCTCAGTGTGCAGTGGTCTCATGGCATCTTTCCAGGTGCCTGTAGCTGGCCATCGCACCAATGCTCCCGGGCATGGACCACTGTGGAGCTGTTAAGTATCCGAGGGGTAGCCGTGCTCCAACACTTCAGTTAATCTATAAGGTGCCACAGGACTCCTAGCCGCTTTTGCGGAGCTGTTAGATCTGATCCGCATATAAGGAGAAGAGTCTGTTCAGTGCCAGCTTCCAGTGACCCATAGTAACATTTCTTGATCCTAGTGTGAAAAGGGGTATGAGCAGGACATGCTGCTGTGGAGAGCGAAGATGAAAGAACTCAGACAAGCTATCATAAGGCCTGTGAGTTGAACCGACGCTCCAGTGCTTCACCGAAGACCTGCTGTTTCTATAAAGAGCTGAATGCTATCCTTGGTAGAGACCCCACTATATTGCAAAGAGCCCATTGATACCTCAGAGGGCACAGAGGCAGTACACGGAGGCAGTAACCTGGCAGATGAGGAGGTTGAGCTAGATGAGGACCAGGGGCTCCCTCCCCATAAGTTGCAGAGTGCGTCTGGCAGCCAGGAACTGCCCCCCCACTGCTAATAGCCAGTCTGAGCAGCTGCTTTCCAGGGACCAGGAAGCAGGGGATGAGACACAGGATAAGTGGCTATGGCTTGTGAAATGCAGGGCTGAGGAGGCTGGCTGTGTTTCTGTGAGTTGCACATACCCCTGTGTAGCTAATCCTGTGGCTAAGCAGCATGCTGAGACTCACTGTGTTCTCAGTGGAATCCTGCAGAGAAAGGTTATCAACACTTTTGGAGAGGTATTTGTAGATATTCTGCAAGGTGGGCTTGTGCTAAAATGTGAATGTGTTTGTGCCATCCACAAACTTCTCCCACAGTTGGGAAATCTCATGGCCGCAAAACCAGCCACTATGACATGCACATTTCCCAGGGTCTTGGTTCTCCCTAGCAAATGTGATTTGTTGCCCTGCACAATTGCAGCAATACAGCTCCAATGGCAGACTTCCCCTCTCCAGACTGATGTGCAATTAACTGGTAGCAATCACGAGTCACCAGTTTCCACACGGCAGTTGCCACACACTTTTCCAAGAGGGCAGCTCTCATTCTGTTGTCCTTACATCACAGTTCCAGGGCCAGCTCAGTACACAACCCCAGGAAGATTGCTTTAAGAATCCTGATGTTCTGTAACCACTAGTCTTCATCCCACACCTGCATGCCAATGCAATCCCACCAATCAGTGCTGCTTCCCTCGCCTAGAAGCACCAGTCTATCCTGTACAGTTGCTTGGAATGCCAAATGCAATGACAGGTTGCTCCTGTCCATATCATGCACACTGTCAGGCTCCTTCGAGTCTTCTTCCTCTGTCAATAACTTCAAGATGATCTCTGCTGCCACATGTGAGGTCCTCATGACTGTCAGCAGAGGATGTGAGAGATGTACAGGATCCATTCTTTCTTGCTGTGGATACCAGAGTGCACAGGAGACAATGGCAGTCGGAAAAAGAGTGCAAAAGAACGCCAGAAGCCCTGGAACAAAGAGGTGCCTGACGGGTCATTTTGCGTGATCCCAAGATGCCCCATGCTCTGTTCCAAGGTCCCACAACCTAGTGACAGATGGTGTCACCAGGCACTGTGGGATACATTGCCACAGTGCATTGCTCCCACTCTCAACAGGGGACCTTAGACATGGACACAATCTGTCAACTGAGGGAGCAGGTGTAAACATGCTTTTGCAACTTTATTTTTTTGGTGACTTCTGTGTGTCAACATTATTTTCCTCAACAAAACTTGGTAATGTAGTCATACCCTTCAGCATGGCTGGTCTGTGAAGGTAGGGCTGGGGGAAGCAAGTCTCCAGCCCCTTCTACTGAGGTTCTACCCTCCATGAGAGCCAAGCCAGCTCCACCCCTCCCCACAGGGAGACGGAGCAGTGCATGCCACCCACCACCATGGGGAGGGAAGAAGGGCAGATGGGTACATGCCCCAGGATCCCCTGTGTGGAGCATGGGGAGGGCGAGCAGTGCATGGCCCCAGCTTCCTTGGCCCTGGAGCACAGGGAGAGTGCCACAAAATCAAACAGGCATGTTGGTAAGTTTTTCCCAGACCAAGGAATGTTGATCTACCTGACTGCCAAGGTATCTGTATTGGAAAAGCATGCTTCACTTGCATTTAAGTCGTCAGAAAAAGCACATTATCAGGAGGATAAAAAACAGCATGGCCTCAGCACACAGGAGCCTGGGATACACTTCAATAGACAAAGGTGTGCGCAGCACATTTCATTAGGGTGTGCACCCAGGGAATTTTATTTTTGTTTTTTTTAAATGTGAACATTTATTGACTACTAACTCATAAAGGACATTATTTTTATTCATCAAACAAACTAATGAAACTAAAACTTAACTTTGTTTTTAATTAACAACTAAACTTTACTTAAAAGAGTGTATCATGCGATTAAAACGCAAAGCCACTTTATTTTGAGACATTAGGGTGTGCTTAGGCACACCCGGCACACCCCCTGTGCATGCCTATGTCAATAGACCACATCATAAAGTATTACTGGACTATAAGAAGGGGAAATATCAATGAGGGAACAAAGGATCCAGCACTCTTTGTATTTGATAAATGATAGATTAGAAGGTGGATGACAATGAAAGGTTGGATGCTACAAGGGAGATGCTTCTGGATAGTTTGGGAACTGAAGTACACCTGCGATGCAAGGTTAACCTGCAAGTGCAAGGCAAAGTTAGGACTGTTGGGGTATGTCAACACTGTGGGCTAAAGTTAAACTAAGAGAGGCAACGTCAGCTACGTTAGTGAATTGCGTAGATGAAGTTGAAATAGCTTAACTCGGCTTTTGGCACTGTCTACAAAGCAGGAAGTCGAAGGAAAAGCACTCTTCCTTCAACTTCCCTTACTTTTCATGAAAAGGAGGTTACAGAAGTCAGTGTAAGAAGCCTGTTATTTCAAATTTATTTGGAAATAGTGGGCTTGCTGTGTAGACATGCACTCTGTTATTTCAAATTATGAGTTATTTTGAAATAAGTGTGCAGTGTAGACATAGCTCTGGAGTCCTAATAAGTTAGTTTGGGCTGGGGTGGCAGAGAGCTATTAACAAAGTTTAAAACCAACAAATCTCTCTTTTGCTAAGGCAGAGAAGTAATAAGATGAAATTATACTTCTGGATACCCAAAGAAAAGTGTGTCAAACACTAAATAGCAGTTTCGGTTCTCATTTATCCACTGGAGATCTGTTCCATTAAATTAGATCAAATGAAGCAGTAGGTTCAAAGCTCCTATCAGAGGAGGAGACAATTTTCAATGGGGGTCACTCCCAAGAATTTGGTAAGTGGTCAGGGGCTGCACTTTCCTACGATATTAATGAAGGGAGTGTGGGGTCAGGGATGAAATTTGGGTACAGGAGGGAACTCTGGCTAAGGCACTGGGGTGCAAGAGGGAGTGTGGGTTCAGGACCTGGGCAGGGGTAGGGTCAGGTAGAGGTGACTGGTGAAGGAAGTATCAGGGGCCATAAAGGCCACGTGCTTCCCCCCAGCCTGGTACAGGGCTGAACAACACCCCCTCCACCTCAAGCCCAGGTGCAGACTCTGGCAGGGAGGTGCTTACTATAGGTGGTGGCCCAGTGGGCCCCTCAGGCAGGCTCCCTGTGTGCCAAAGCCCCATATGCTACTCAAAGCAGCTGGCCGCTAGAGTCAGCATGTGTCTCTGTGTGGCGCACTCTTGAGGGGAGGGGGACAGCAGGTCTCCACACACGTGACTGCAAGGACTGTCCTTGTGGCTAATGGGAGGCTACAAGGACATTGCTCGGGTGGTGGCAGAGAGTGGAGATACCCCACCACTCCAGGGACATGCTGCACAGGGACACACACTGGCCCCGGCAGCCAGCCACTTTGAGCAGTGGGTGGGGCCATGGCAGTCAAGGGGCCTGCCTGAGGGTTCTGCTGGATTGCAGCAGGCTGGAACCAAATGTTTGGAAGGCCAGATTCAGCTACGGGACATATTTTGTCCACACTTCCTACCAAGTCACCGAAGCCACCTCTTGAAATAAAAATAGTCCTCTGCATATTAGTCCACGAAACTGGGAAGGCGGGGGAATAGAAGTAGTGCAGGTTCAGGAGTGAGGGAGCCCTGCTAGGGGAAGCTTTGGAAGATAAGCAACACTAAAGGCTATGGATGGAAAGCTAGAAAGAAAGCTGATACTTTGTCATCCTGCTTAGGGAAAATTAATGGTCTTTTGTCTTGCCTATCCCCACCCCACAAAAAATTGGGCAAAATTCACCCTGGTGTTAATTGGAAGT